GGAGGTTTCGGGTTTTTTTTTTTTTCACAATGTTCCTGCAGATGTTATTGGTTGCGTATTCTCATTCCAGATCAAGTTTGAAATCTACAGAGTTTGAGCTTGTTACGGTTGGGGTTTCAGACTGTCAGATGAGGGCGCTCACTCCAGAGTCTTGTGAGCCACTGTGGGGAGCAGGTCCATCAGCTGCTGGAACAGGTAAAGAAAGAGCTGAGGGTTCGAGGCCTGGGATGAGGGATGGAGGTGAGAGAGGCTGGGTGTGCTAGGATGGAGGTGAGAGAGGCTGGGTGTGCTAGGATGGAGGTGAGAGAGGCTAGGTGTGCTAGGATGGAGGTGAGAGAGGCTGGGTGTGCTAGGATGGAGGTGAGAGAGGCTGGGTGTGCTAGGATGGAGGTGAGAGAGGCTGGGTGTGCTAGGATGGAGGTGAGAGAGGCTGGGTGTGCTAGGATGGAGGTGAGAGAGGCTGGGTGTGCTAGGATGGAGGTGAGAGAGGCTAGGTGTGCTAGGATGGAGGTGAGAGAGGCTGGGTGTGCTAGGATGGAGGTGAGAGAGGCTGGGTGTGCTAGGATGGAGGTGAGAGAGGCTGACCTTGTGCTGCACAATATTTAGTTTATTATAGCAAGAGGAATTTCACTAACTGAAGCTTTTTATGAAAAATTTCAGGTCTGCCTTAATGTATTGGTATGTTTCGCTAGTGCAAAGCAGGTCTTTTTCTGCCCTCTGCAGTCATGGGAGTGCTGGGTTCAGGGTTTTGTGAATGCCACTGGCGGAGCGCCTGCGTCCCCTCCTGCCACTCTATTGACCTCCCTGTGTCCTGGCAGCGAGTGTAGGGCCCTGCTCCAGGACGCTCTCCCCTTCGAGGCCTCCCACCGCTGCCAGGGCCCCCTCTCAGTTTATTTGTCCTGCCTGGGTTGGACAGAACTGTCGTTCCTCCTTGCTCCCTGGTGCCTGCAGGAGACTCTGCAGGCTGTTTTTATACGGGTGGCAGTCATGTTTATGCTACGTTCCAAGACATGTCTGTCTTTTTAATTTGCTTGTCTAAAGTGCCGCCCTGTGGAGGTTAAGCCTGACACGTTCACACGTGTCTGCGCGTTCCCACAGCTGCAGAGGTGTGTGAGGTGTGTGGGTGTGAAGTGTGGGTTACCACCTCTGTCCACACCACCACTGCTGTGCTCTGGCCTTTTCTTGAAGCTGTTACTACAAGTCCAGATCTGTCCCCGGAGAGGGTTGGGAACGGATGTCTTTGCCCTCGCTCGGTGCAGCTGTTTCACCTTAAACCCAAGACAGTTGCCATGGCAATGGTCGACCAGAAATAGGTCAGGTTCAAGTCCTTTCCCTGCTGGAAGGGAGTGCCAAGACTCTGGAAGTTGTCTGGGTGGAGCAGAGCGTGGAGGCGGACAGCTGTCTGCAGCAAGTAGCGCTTGGGGTGAGGTGCTCACCAGGGCCTGCCTGGAAGGCGCTCAAGCCCGAGACATTTGTCGCACAGCCTTGGCACTCTGGCTGGTGTGAGGCTCATGTGTGTTCTCCATAACTTGCTAAACAGTAGGCTTACTAAACAGGATAGAACAGCACTGATTGTTGAGACAGGTACTGGGAAAGGAAGACACGAGGTGAGAACAGATGGGATCTGCTGGATTTGGGCCAGAAGAGGCCCAGGTTTCCTGTAGGTGGCTCGGCCAGGGAACCAAGGGTCCCTCTGCCTCCTCTGTCCTCACTCCTCACCGCGGGAGACCTGAGTCTCGCCCTCCCTCCACATCTGTTCCCTGGGGGCTGCGGTTCCTGGGGCTGCTTGGAGCAGGTGCTGGTGCTCAGGTGTGGAGAATGGGCAGTGGCTGTGCGGGTTGCTTGCCGACATGCTTTGGTTTGCTTAGGTGATCGGGTGGGGGGCTCTTCCTGTCCACCCTTTGCCCCTGGGAGCCTCTGGGCCACAGCTCAGTGAATGTGGGGTGTTCCCGTCAGAGTCATGGAGAGAGGCAGACCCGACATGCTCTTCCAGAGAATTCCTCAGAGAGGGCATAGGTTCTAAGGCTTCTTGGACTTCTTACCCACCCCTGCCCCGCCTGGACAGGGCGAGCCTATGGGTGCAGGGGGCTCAGATGAAGCGTCTCGGGGGCAGGGTGGCTTTTCAGTCAGTAGAGAGCCTGTGTGACCGTGTGGCTGAGGTGAGTAGTGTGGCGGCTTATGTTGTGGCCTCCTTCCCTGGGGCAGGCCCCATTCCAGGAGCTTGCAATGGAGTTCGGTTACTCCTCACAACAGCTCCACACAGCATGTAGCACTGTGTGTGTGAGTGTGTGTGTGTGTGTGTGTGAGTGTGTGTGTGTGTGTGTGTGTGTAAGATTTACAGGGAGGAGGAGACACAGAGAGAAAGATCTTCTGTCTACTGGTTCACTCCCCAAGTGACCTCAATGGCCGGATCTGAGCTGATCCAAAGCCTGGAGCCTCTTCCGGGTCTGCCCTTTACAGGAGCAGTCAAGAGACCCACTGTTGGGTGGTCTGTGTGACGTAATGTGTCATGTTGCTATTTCTCTGCCGTGGTGTATCCTGGTCACTTATGTGGCATTCTTGCATGTGGGTGGACACTTCGTTCTCATTTGTGAGTGGGAAATGGTGGGTGTGGTGGAATAGGTCTGTTCATGCTCGGTTCGGGTCTTACTGTCTTGGGCTCAAACACGAGGTCCCAGACCTGGATACCGGGCAGTGTGCTGTCCCCTCCCTCACCGGGGCTCCCGTGTCCTTAGCTCCGTGGCTGGCATGTCTGGCTGGGTCCTGGGGTAAGCTGAGGGCGTTCTGCAGGGAGAGGCGACGTGCAGGTGTGTGTGAGTGCTGGCCCACAGCCACGGGCTGCTGCATGGGCCTGGGCATGTGCCAGCGACACTGTGCATCGTTACCCCACCTGGCCATGCTTGGTGCCCCATGCAGCATGACAGGTGAATGAATTGGGAGGTTTTGTAACACATTTGCTGCCTGTGGGGCTGGTGCCATGGTGTGGTAGGTTAAGCTGCTTGAGGCATCTCATCCCACGTGGACGCCTGGCACTGCCAGGATCCCATATGGGCGCTTGTTCGTATCCTAGCTGTTCCACTTCTTTTTTTTTATTATTATTTTTTAAAGATTTATTTTTATTATTTTTTCATTGGAAAGGCAGATATACAGAGAGGAGAGACAGAGAGGAAGATCTTCCGTCCGATGATTCACTCCCCAAGTGAGCGCAATGGGCCGATACTATGCCGATCCGAAGCCAGGAGCCTCTTCTGGGTCTCCCACGCGGGTGCAGGGTCCCAAAGCTTTGGGCCGTCCTCGACTGCTTTCCCAGGCCACAGGCAGGGAGCTGGAAGGGAAGCGGGGCTGCCGGGATTAGAACCGGCGCCCATATGGGATCCCAGGGCGTGCAAGGCGAGGACCTTTAACCACTTGCGCCACCGCGCCGGGCCCCTAGCTGTTCCACTTCTGATCCAACTCTCTGCTTATGGCCTGGGAAGGCAGAGAGAGGGCTCAAGTCCTTGGGCCCCTGCTTTCACGTGGGCGACCCAAAGGAAGCTCTTGGATCCTGGCTTCAGATTGGCTCAGCTCCAGCCATTGGGCCATTTGGAGAGTGAACCAGTGGATGGAAGATCTTGTTCTCTCTGTTTTTCCTTCTCTGTAACTGCCGTTCCAATAATAATTAAAAAAAATAATAAAACAATTGCTATTTGTGAAATATATTGAAACACAAAAGGCTATAAGAAACCAAGGGCCTTCTGGTGTGTCCCCTAGACTCAATAGAGGCCACTGTTTCACTATCTCAGTGTGTGTTTGTCTTATTGACTTCTTTAAGTTGAGAGCTGAAACCCACTTGTGCTGGTGCTTAGTGCAGGTTGGGAACGTCCCGGGATGGCTCCTTGCAGGGGTGCATATGTGGCACCAACCTGGGCCCTGGGTCTCCTGGGCGGTGTTTGATCAGCTCCCTGACGGGGAAGGTGCTTAAGGACATGGTGCCTTTTGTTATAAGCGAGGCCTTCCCTGCCAGGCTGTGACCAGGGGTCCGTGAGCAGCTGGGTCGTATCCACAAGAAGGCTGACGGACAGGGTGGGACTTCGTGCCGGTGGTTGTGTGGTCGGCCGGCTCCCTTTCCTTGCGCTGACTGTGCAGGTGGGCCTGCGTGGCTCCCGCCGACTTGGGCGCGTCAGGCAGTGTTGGCAGCCACAGTGGTGGCTTGCTGCATCCCCCCACACTTGTTCCCGGGTGGCAGGGAGATGGGCTCCCTGTCTGCACTGCTTGCTGACTCGTCAGCCTGAGGCTGAGGGCTGCTGGAGAGCTTGCCTGTGGATTTGGTCTTGCTAATAGTCAAGGCGTAGGCGTGGAGCACTCTGAGGCTGGGCTCTCGATTCCGGTCTCACATGACTGGCTCTGGAGCCTGCTTCTTGTGTGTCTGGGAAGTCAGGGCGCACCTGGTGTTGGTGTTTTGGTTGACAGCGTGAATTGGGAGCCAGGCACTTCCCAGGCCTGCGTGATTTGACTTCCTTTGGCTTCTGGGTTAGGTGAGACAGGATTTGCTGCTGTGCCCATGACTTGGGGGAAGTGCCCAGGGTCACCCAGCTGCCATGCACTGGAAGCATGGCAAAGACCTCAGAGGGCCCTGGTGGTGGCCTCACTCTGCCGGATTGCCGGGCCTACCATGGCCTGTTTTGAGGTGGGGGAGGGACATTCCTGGCAGGTGCCAAACTGAAATTCATACTCACCTGGACATGTGTACTTATGAAGAGAAAATAATGTTCTTTTAAGGCTTGGTATGTGCATGTGTTTGCTTTTCAGGTTCCGATGAGGGGGTTTGGCGAGGCACCCACAGGCTCTGCCCTGTGATGTCTTCGCTGCATGTACTGGGTGGTTTCCCTGGGGTGTGCTGGGCCGGGAGGGCTTTGGTCGAGGCTACCTCCGGTGGCCTGGGTTATTGCGGGGTGTGCAATACGCACGGGATTCCTCCCTGGGGGTCCTGCGGCTAACACCTCTGGCCGGCTCTCTCCGAGGTGGCGGCTGCCCCGTGGTGGTTACCAGTGAAGGGAGCTGACTGGAGACACCCAGAGGGGCCCGACTCCACCATCCGGCACAGGTAAGTGTCAGGCGCCAGGTTCCAGTGCGTGGGGCTTCCAGTGCCACCCAGGCGTTTCCTTTATCTTTGCCTGGGCAGTGGTGGTTGATCCTCCCCGAGAGTGGCCCAGACACTGTGTCTCCCTTGCCGCTGTTCCTGTCAGATGGCAACCCCCCACAGGTCGTCCTGCCAGTGGCCCATGGACTGTCCCTGAGGGATAAGCAGCTGTGCCCTGCCAGGTGGCACCTGCGGGAGGCACCTGCGGGAGGCGGGCCCTGGTGTGGGTTGAGGCCAGGAGGTAGTTGTGTGCACAGAAACCCAGACGCAGGAGGAAGGGGCTGGGCAGTGCCTGTGTGGGTGGGCAGCCGCTCTCCCGGGAAAAGCTCCCTCATTGACAGGTGGTTGAGGACGCAGCTCCTGGACAGAGGTCAGGAATCTTAGAACCGGGTCAGGACACAGGTTAGAGGTGGGATTGTGGATGCCCAGGCTCCCAGGAAGTGCCTGGTTTCCTGGACCCTGGTGGAAGCAGCCAGGGCGTCATGAAGGCCCCGTGGGGTTGTGGAGGATCATGCAGTGAACTGCTTCTCCTCGGTGCTGGATTCACTGCTGGGCACCCGAGGGTCCTCAGAGTAAGCGCCATGCCCTGGGGGCTCACTGAGAGGAGCTCAGAGGGGCGTAGGGCCTGAGGATTCGGCCAGTGCTGTCAGGGTCTGGGAGACAGCCTCTCCCATCCCTACTCTGCCTTCAGGACCGAGCGGCGTAAGACCTGCTACAGGGAGGCAGATGTGGCTGCTGGTCTGTTGTGGTAAAATGGGGTGGCCCAGGTGAGAAGCCAGCTGCCAGGGTGAAGCACACGAGGAACCCTGGCCTGCAGGAGGGCCGCTGGAGCCAGGTGGGGTGGGAGGGCAGAGTCCTGCCACACATAGGCCCTGTACGGTCGCAGCTGGCTGCACAGGGGCCCTGGGCATGTCTGGTGCCCAAGGTTGGATTGCAGTGGCCACAACAACCTGGCCTTTGTGAAACATCACCGTACCACACTCTCGAGGGTCTGTGGGAACCCGAGTCTAAGAGGAGCTGCAGCCCATGGGGGCGTCTGGGACATCAGAAGTCTCTGTGTGTGTAGGGGTGGCCAAGATGGCCTGGCTGGGCCTGGGGTTGTGGTCTGGACCACCCCGGGGCATGCACCAAGCTGAGGGGGGTTGCCCCAGCTGGGCACTGCATCCCGTCTGGTGGGTGTTGCCCTGACCTGTGCTCTCCGCCTCTCCTAGGCCACAACACCCCGTGCTCCACGTCTCCTGGAATGATGCAGTTGCCTACTGCACGTGGGCGGGGAAGCGGTTGCCCACGGAAGCTGAGTGGGAATATAGCTGCCGGGGCGGCTTGCACAACAGGTACATTGGGGCAGAGCGGGACGGGAAGGGCTGGAGGGAGTCTCGCCTTGCCGGGCTCTGGAGCATGTTCAAGAGGCGCACAGCTGGGTCTCCTCTTGTCCATGAGGTCCCACCAGGAGACACTGGTGAGCTAGCTTCTGACACTTCGCGGCCCCAGAGCCAAGCGTCCTGCCCGCCGGACTCCCTGTGGCCCAGGGCGCGGGTGGCCACTCAGCACCAGCCACAGGTTGTGCATTGCTGGGAGCTGTGCGAGATGCCTGGCTTTGTTTTGGTGACTGGATGCACTGGTATGTGTCTGCCTGCCTGTGGAACCTTGAGAGAGGAAGTCTCCTGTTTGAGACATATGGGAAAAGCTCCTTCAAACAGCGCGACTGTGTAGGATAGCATGGTCTAGTGGTGTCTGCTCAGCACGCACCGTCCACGTTCACTGCCAGGTCTGCTCTCCAGCTTCCCTCAGCTTCTGCCTTGAGCTCCGCAGTCGATTCCAGGCCTGCCAATCCTCGGAGGTGGCTGGGGCCGTGATATGTACCGTGGCAGGGAGCTTTGAACAAATGCCCTGCCTGAAAGCTTGATGCGTTTATTTCATAGCCAGGGGACACTGGCAGAACAACAGGCCTTGCACTCACTTGTGCCTGGTGGGCTGGTGCCCACATCTCTCCCCACAGGCTCTTCCCCTGGGGCAACAAGCTGCAGCCCAGAGGCCAGCATTATGCCAACCTGTGGCAGGGTGAGTTCCCCGTCACCGACACCGGCGAGGACGGCTTCCGGGGGACGGCGCCCGTGAGTGTGGGGCAGGCACCGAGCTGGGGGTCACGGGGGCCCTGTGTTCTTTCTGGTGTTTTTGAGACAGATACACAGGTTGAGGGGAGAGAGAGAGAATCTTCACTCTCCTGGTTCACTTTGCAGATGCCTGGCACAGCCAGGGCTGGGCAGGAGCTGGGAGCCCGAAGATCGCCGAGCCTGTAGGTGGGGGGACTCACTGACTCAGTTGTGTCCTGCTGCTCCCAAGGCTTCACTCGGCCGGTCGCCGGAGCCAGGGCGTGGATGCAGGAATGGAAGCCAGGCAGTCCGACGTGGGGTGTGTGTGTCTTGGCCAGTGTTTCTGCACAGCCACTGTGTCCTTGCTCACTAAGGTGCTGCCCCAGCCACCTTCCACCATCTTTGCACCTGCCGATGGAGCACCAGATGCTTGTCCCAATGAACACCTGTATAGAGATGCCCCGCAGCCTGGGCTGAGTGCTCAGAAGCACCTGAACCATGGCCCTGCCTTGTTCCTGGTGGACCAGAAGCAGGCTGAAGTCCCCAGAGATGGCTTGTAATCGATTCATTCCCTCCAACCTGTGTCCTGTGTGTGGAAAAGATGTGATTCACAAAACAGTACATTAAAGATTTTTTTCTTAGTTAGGAATATGAAATTTTTGATTGAGGTCTTTTTTATTTGAAATGTGGTGGGGCCCAAGTTTTAGTGTAATCATTAAGACAGTGCTTAGTTTGTCTTTATTACGTACTGGATACCAATCCACTCCCCATCCAGCTGATACAGGAAGACATAGGAGGTAGCATAGGGTGGCCTAGTGCTTGGGCTCCTGCCGTCCGCGTGGGAGACCTGGCCTGGCTTGGGTCCTGAGCTTCTGGCATCGGCCCGACCAGGCCCAGCCCCTGCACTGTGAACCAGTGAATGAGAGGCCTCTCTCTCTCCATTTTCCTTTCAGATAAAGATGATAATCAGTAGACAAAATGTTAAAACTTTGCGTTAAAACAGTAAGGCAGTTCTCAATGAAGAGACAATTAATGTTTTAAGAACTATTATTAGAATCTTATCAGAAAGTTCATGGAAAATGACAGCATGAACAAAGTATACCTGGGCCCTAGTATTCCTTTGCACCAACATATACTTGTCTTCATTCCATTTTCCACACACTTTTTGAATTGCAAAGTGTTTTTTTCTCAGGCCTTCTGTCGGGTAGCAGCCTGTCCTGGGCTCCCTGTCTGGGGCTGTGTTTTGTGGCTATGTCTGACCTGCCTTGGCAGCATGGCGTGATCCTTCTGGAAGGTCTGGAGCCCATGCTCAGACCTCCTGCTCACAGACACGCTTGGTCCTGTTGGGCACCTGCTGCAGGGTTTGACTGCCCTGCCTCGAGTTTATCTCCCTAGCGCCCCGGCTTTGTCAGCGTGGTGCGTGACTCCAGGGCATTTCTGCTTCTCTGTCCTTAGGTTGATGCATTTCCTCCCAACGGCTATGGCTTGTACAACATGGTGGGCAACGCCTGGGAGTGGACATCAGACTGGTGGACTCGCTACCATTCTGTTGAGGAAGCACAGAACCCGGTGAGCATTGGTGCCCCCCAGGCGCGTGCCTCAGTCCCTGCTGCAGTGACTGCCCGAGTTTCCAAGGCTCTTTGTGAGCTCTTGACAGAGCCTGGAACAGCCCCACTAAGTGCTTGTGGGAGCACGGAGTGCGTGTCTTTGAATGGGGCTCTGTGTAATGTCGGAAACCCTCAGGCTCGCAAATTGGATCCAAGTGTGATGGATAACCAACTGCACAGCTCACTCCTGCCTTGCTGATGCTCAGTAGTCTGCGGCCAGGTGCGTGGGTTTGCACACGTTGACGTTCTGGTTCAGCTCAGTTCCTGGGCGAAAGCGTGTGCTTCCTGGGTCAGGATGGAGATGGCAAGTGAGTGATGACTTCTTGCTGTGGCAGGTGTTGAGATGCTCAGGCATCCTGACAAGGCAGCCTTGTCAACCCATGTCCTCTGTCTCCTGGTACATGAAGAAAGCCGAGGGCACGAGTACCAGGGAACTTACAAAGTTTCCCAGAAAAGTTGAATCAGAAACTGCTTATTTGGGTACAAAATTTTGGAAATCCATGTATTCATTAACCTCTTGGAGAACCCTCATGTGCATGCACTTCAAAGCTTTTGACAGCAAGATGCATCCAGCCTTGGTCCCATTACCCAAGATGCACTTAGCTCTGATCCCATTTCCCAAGGTCCACCTAGCCCTGGTCTCATTTCCCAAGGTGCATTTAGCCCTGGTCCCATTTCCCAAGATGCACCTGGCTCTGATCCCATTTCCCAAGATGCACCTAGCCCTGGTCCCATTTCCCAAGATGCAACTAGCTCTGATCCCATTTCCCAAGATGCATTTGGCCCTGGTCCCATTTCCCAAGATGCATTTGGCCCTGGTCCCATTTCCCAAGATGCATTTAGCCCTGGTCCCATTTCCCAAGATACACCTAGCCCTGGTCCCATTTCCCAGGTGCGTTTTTTGAAGCACCCTTGGAGATCCCCGTCTCTGAAGCCGTCTGTCCTGGTAGAACACGTGGGGTTGGAGGCAGCCTGGATGTTCCTTGAGGGGAGGGTGTCACAAAAATGTCCACTGGCAGTAAACTGGATCCTCATAAGTAGTTCCAGGAATGCGTGCTCCTTCCTGGACTGGCTGGGCTGGGAGCATGAGCTGCTGGATTTTAAGTCCTTAGCTTCAGAAAGACATCAAGGATGGTGGCGAAGGAAATCTCAGTCCCTTCTATGAGGGGGTTCCCACAGCTCAGGGTCACTGTGGAGGCTGTCAGGCCATGGACCCAGGCTGGTTTCCAGAATGTGGGATGTTTGTGGCTGTGGAAACACACCACAGACACCTGGGCCACGCAGGGTGCACCTGCGGACTAGTCCTCCACGTTCTCACCTGTACCCAGAAGCCTTGAGTCTCCTGGAGGAGTGCCTGAGGCTGCATCACCTCTGTGGTCGGCTGGGGGCGCAGCCACCTCCCGTGGGCTGCAGGGGTCTTGGTGGTTGCCATCAGCAGTGTGCAGAGCGTCCCCATCCTGCAGCTTCTGTGGGGTGTCACAGCTGTGTGAGCCCAGCACTCGGGCCCGGCGAGGCTGCATCTTGGCGCCTGGTGTAGCTTTCCGTCCTGGAAATGCTTCTGAGCTCGGCTGGAGGGAGTGTTCCCTGTCGCCACTCCCAGGCGACCGGCTGATTCTGGTGTCTATCACGGTGGCCTCACCTGCTTCATGACTTGACGAGGATAAAATCCAACAGTTTTAAGGAGTTGGCTGCAAAGCCTCCTGGACAAGTCCTCATTGGTCACCGAGATCCTCGGGCGCCGTATCCGCTGGCTGCAGACGGCGCCGTCAGTTCCCTCTCCCCCGACCTCCCTGCCTCCCCTCAGTCTCCTGTCATGCCCAGAGCAGATCTCGTCTAAAGAACAAGGTGGTAGCTCTCGGATGTGCCTTCTGAAAAGCATCTTCATTCTGTGCCCTGGCCAAACTGTCTCCTCTTCTTTAAACATTTAATTAGGAAATGTTTCCAGAAGTCTGGAAGAGGACAGAGCAGTGTCCGCGGTCCTGTGCCTCCTTGAACCTGACGCCAGCGCTTGGTGTCCTCGGCGTCGTTAGCTTGGCTGCTCTGCTGTGGGCAGCGTGTGTCCTTGGGGTTGGACATGTCTTTCTGAGCCTGCGTGGCTGAGCCTGTCTCCCTCCTGGCCCTTCTTGGTTTTAAATCACATTGTGTCTTCTCATGTGCGTGCTTATTGTGTGTGAGGAACTAGGGGTTACCTGAGCTTTCCGGAGTGTGATCACCCCTAGAAAGAGTAACTTTGCTTCTGGAAACTTCTGCCTCTGCTTGGCTTGTTTCCATCAGGCATGCACCCGCTAGAAGCTGTCTCATGAGGGCTGGCCTTTTGGCGTCCTCCTGGAAGCTGCCTGTTGGGGTGCTCTCCGGAAGGCTGGGGTGTGGCTGGGGCAGGGGGCCGGTCTGGGGTGTGTACCCTTAGTTACTCACTGTGTTGGGGTGCTCTCCGGAAGGCTGGGGTGTGTGCCCTCAGTTACTCACTGTGTTGGGGTGCTCTCCGGAAGGCTGGGGTGTGTGCCCTCAGTTACTCATGGCTGCAGTGGTCACTTGGGCTCCCCAGAGGCCTGTGAGTCTCTGGCGTTTGGCAAAGAGGCAGGTGCGTGATTATTGTCTCTCCAATAATGCCGGTCCCAGCCGCCCAGAATTCGCATCTGATCCCTGCCCACACCCCAGCCCCACCCAGGTGTTCTGGAAGCAGGAGTTCCTGGGGATGATGTGAGCCACAGTGTTCATGTGATCAATAAACACTGGATTCCTGAGCTGGCCCTCAGAGTGCCGTGTAACGCCTGGGGGCCTGCAGGTGGAAAGCGTCTTGGGGAGCTGGGACCAGCCAGCACCCTGAGTACACAGGCGACTGGGGACGTGGCCTTTCCGCTTCAGTGACTTGAGGGAGGACGGGTTAATCACTAGTTTGGATTTTACTGGGTGGTCTTTGTGGCAAAGCAGCAGAACGCCTTGCATGCTTCCTGTAGGGTCCCGAGAACAGACGGTTCCAGGCCACATGCAGTGTGGGTCCGTTTGGGGTTTTCCCCGTGGGTGTCCCCTGGAGGGGCCGCCAGTGCCCACAGTGAGAGGGCACTGCTCACGCCTCTTCACTCAGTCCAGGGTGTGTTCAGGACTGTGCTGTGTTTTAACCACATGGTTTTCCTTCCTTCTTCCTTCTTTTTATGATTTCTTTCTTTATTTGAAAGTCAGAGTTACAGAGAGGGGGCTTCAGAGGTCTCCCCGAGTGGCCACACGTCAGGCTGGGTTAGGTCTCGTGTGGGTGGCAGGGGCCCAAGCACTGGGTCTGCTCTCTGATGTTCTCCCAGGTACACACATTATCAGGGAGCTAGATCACAAGTGGGGCAGCCAGGACTCCAACTGGGGTCCACGTGTGACGTGAGCATCGCAGGCAGAGGCGTAATGTGCAGTGCTAGCCCCAGAGTGTTTTTAAAAAGTGGCTCGTGTGTTTTTTCTTTTTGGTAACCTAACGTGAATGCCCGTGTTCATCTGTGGCGGTACACGGAGCTCTCAGCCATGACTGCACCTGCCGTAGGAGGCTGTCCTGCAGTCTGAAGACTAGAAAGCGGTGCTCTGTGAGTCCCAGCCCCTGCTACCTCCGTTTTGTCGCTGGGGCCAGTGTTTCCCGCCCCCAGTGTGACGCGTGACTACAGGGCCAGCACTGTCACCACACTCCTTGAGTTGGGGAAGGGACACGTTCCTTTGGGAGGTGGGAGCTGGCAAAATGCAGCTGTGGGAATCCTCTTCCTGTTCACCCCAGTGTGATGACTGCACAGTGCGGAGAAAATGACTGATTGTGTGCGTTTCAGGCACCGGGTACTCACCGCAGTGGACACGCTGGTTTTGCCGAGGGATCCTGGGGGGCTGTTAGTCCACACTGTGTGTAACGTGCTGCTCTTCTAGTTCTTTCTCTGACCTTTCTTTGGGACTCAGCTCCTTTTCCTTGCTTTGTGTAAAAACTAAAACCAGTTGCTGTGCGCCGTTCACTGGTCCTTGTCTTGGGTGATCAGGGAGATTTGTGCCACCCAGCCAGAGCGTGGTAGAGCAGAACCTCCCAAGAAGAGGATGTGCAGGAAGTGTGCTCACACAGGAAGGGGTCTTCTCAAGCCGTTAGGAGCAGTAGGCCAAGCTTCTGCCTGTGTGCTGACATTCCACGTGGGTGCTGGCACAGGTCCTGGCTGCTCCGCTGCCCATGAAGCTCGCTGCTGATGGCTGGGAAAGCAGCTCAGGGTGGCTCAAGTGCTTGGGCCCCTGCACCCGTGCAGAAGACCTAGAAGACGCTCCTGGCTTCAGATCTACTCAGCTTTGGCTGATGCAGTTATTTGGGGATGAACCAGTAGATGGACCACCCTGTCTCTGTCTCTCCTTCTCTCTGTAACTCTGGCTTTCAAATTAAAAATAAAATAAACCTTAAAGAAAATCTGGAGTTGCTGCTACACCCGTGAGCATGGCTGGACTGAACGCTGGTGACTGGCTGGCAATGGAGACCATGCATCGTCTGTGCGGTGCACGTGGAGATGTGACAGGTCCCCGCCACTCTGAAAAGCAGTTTGCAGTCTCTCTGTCGTTTTGTTAACTTGTTCATTAGCTTTGGCTATGATGTAAATTAAAAATAGGTTTTCTAAAAAAATTAAAAAAGATTATGTTGAAAAAGGAAGAGCCAAAGCAGAGCAAGGAGCGCCTTCTACCTGCACCTCCTCGGCCTTCTCCAGGGAGATACAACCCAGCAGCCCTCAGAAGTGACAGGTGCGTGAAACAGGCGGAAGCTGGAGCCAGCTGGGCAGTCCTTCACACGGCAATGCTCACCGGCCAGCAGGTGTATGCCATAGGCTGCGCCTCGGTGGTGGCAAGGAGCAGGTGGCTGTGGGCAGTGGGCTGTGTGGCTCTCGAGGGACAGCTGCGGGACGGCAGAGGCCGTGTCTCGTGACTGCACTGTGTTAACAAGCCATCCTGGAGGGAGAGCCTGTCTGGATGGGCCGTGGCTGGGGTGGGATGTCCTGGCTGTGGCCGTGGCTGGGGTGGGATGTCCTGGCTGTGGCCGTGGCTGGGGTGGGACGTCCTGGCTGTGGCCGTGGCTGGGGTGGGACGTCCTGGCTGTGGCCGTGGCTGGGGTGGGATGTCCTGGCTGTGGCCATGGCTGGGGTGGGACGTCCTGGCTGTGGCCGTGGCTGGGGTGGGACGTCCTGGCTGTGGCCGTGGCTGGGGTGGGATGTCCTGGCTGTGGCCGTGGCTGGGGTGGGACGTCCTGGCTGTGGCCGTGGCTGGGGTGGGACGTCCTGGCTGTGGCCGTGGCTGGGGTGGGATGTCCTGGCTGTGGCCGTGGCTGGGGTGGGATGTCCTGGCTGTGGCCGTGGCTGGGGTGGGAGGTCCTGGCTGTGGCCGTGGCTGGGGTGGGACGTCCTGGCTGTGGCCGTGGCTGGGGTGGGAGGTCCTGGCTATGGCCGTGGAGGGAGCCCTGGGGAGGAGACAGTCTGCTCCGACATCAGACCTCAGGGAGATGGTGCTGGGCTTCTGAGTGGAGGAGCAAGCTGACCTTGGGGTACACTCTTCTCTGTTGTCCTTCTTCCCTCTTGTGAATCTGTAGTGAATCTCAAAAGTTTAATGTTTTGATGGAAAGAAAAAAATCATTCTAGATCAAGAAGGACAGTAGATCTGTTAGTTTTTCTGCTGTGGTCCCAGGAAATCCAGCTGTTATTCCAGCGCAGAAGGGGTAGATGCTAAAGATGGCACAGCATGGCTGACACGCATTGGGCAGGCTAGTCAGGTGAATGCAACAAGTTCGAGCGTTGCTTCTTGTCTCCTTTGTTAATTCCTTTAAATAAGCATGGGGTGGTTTAAAGCAGCAGGCGTCAGTGTACTGTCTCCCCGTAGTGTGTGTGGCAGTAGTACCGAGTGCTTCATAGTGTTTTCTACAGTTTAAACACAAGGTGTGGGAATGTGTGCGTGGAGGACTCGTTCCACATCTTAAAACTGTCATGTCAGGAGGCACATTTTGCTTGGCTCTGGCCGTAGGACTGGTTGCTCATAGGTTGGCATGATTGATAATAAAGTTCATTTGGTTCAGAGGCCCTGCCGCTCTGGCCCACCCATCATGGCCTGCCTGCCACACAGTCACTTTAGCAGCTGTTGACATTCATTGCCTAGATTTGGTTTTTCTTTTGAATTAAAAGTAACAATACTTGCCGTGGCACTCTTACTTCTTCTGCCTCTTCGAAGCTCATTCCCTTCTAACTGGTCTCTTCCCCTGAGGTGTCTTTGTACAAGGATGGAATAAATGCCCACAACGTCATGTTCATGTTTGTGCAAACATGTACGTATCCACAGGTGCCGTGTTCTCTGGGAGGTACACGTGGCTCCCCTCTGCTGGTGCAGTCGCGCCCTGCGTTCAGTATAGGGCTTGTCGGCTGCTCATTGGCGGAGATCTGTCCTCTTCTGGAAACTTCTGTGGCTGACATGCTGCTTGTCGGGGAGGGTTGGGCCTGGAGTGTGTCATTGTTGCTGAGCCTGGGACCCAGATCCTGCGGCAGGCTTGCCCCTGGCCCATGTGTGGTCTGGGCATCTGCTGGATGGCTGCATGGCTGAAAGTGGTCACACCTTCCCAGTGTGTAAGCTGGGCGCTGAGTTCTGTGTCCCCACACCCTGAGGGCCCCTGCTGGATCTGTTTTCAAGAGTGGCACCTGTGGCTGGGTTCTGAGGCTATAGGGAGTGATGTGGCATTGCTCTGCGTGTGAGTGTGTATGGGAGCTGAGTGGCCGTGGGCAGCAGTGCCCCTGGGGACAGCATTCATGCTCTGGCGTGGCTGTGGTGCGGAGGAGCTTCCTGGTAGCCTCAGATGTCTCTGTGCAGCTTGCCCGATGGCAGGATGCGTTCATAGGTAAGTGTCCTGAGTCCAGCGTGCTACCTGGAGGAAGTGCTGCCAGAGCTGTAGGTGGGCTGTTTGCAGTGCGGGAGGGGGCGTGATGAGATAGGACATCTGGGGACCTGGATAGGAGGAGGCTGTGGAGGGGAGAGGCTGGCGGGAGCCACAGTGTGTGAGGCGCAGCTGGTTCTCCTGGACTGACCACATTTTTTGTCTCCATCCCTAGAAAGGCCCCCCGTCGGGGAAGGATCGGGTGAAAAAAGGCGGATCCTACATGTGCCATAAGGTCAGTGCCATCCCTGCCTGGGGTGTGGGTCCCCGGGGCCCTGTTCCCACGTGCTCACATGGCGCGGGTCCCCTTCTGAACTGGAGAGCACATGGCTCACAGCACATGGAGCAGAGGTTGTGTGTGACCTGCAGCTCGGCCTCCAGCTGTGGACACCTGTCCTCTCCGAGGCTTGGGGTGTCCCTGCGGGCCAGGTGGGCTGTATGCCTTCCCTTGTGTAAGTCTAGAAGCACAGCTGTCACTCATCCAAGACCCTCACACCACTTTTGTGCTCATTGCGTTTCCCTAGCCCTGTTAGACTCGCCTGCAGAGGACCTTGGCAAGGTTTGGGTCAAAGTGGAGTTGCGGGATAATGAGCTTCCATGGCTCTGTGGCTCCTGTTATTTGAAGGGACAAGTTGGAAATATGGACAGTTCCTCTTCTTTAACCGAAATGAGTGCTGTCATTTTTTTATGCTCTTTTACTTTGGCTAGAAACTACAATATAGTCTTTTTAAAAAATTATTTATTTATTTATTTTTATTGGAAAGTCAGATATACAGAGAGGATCTTTCATCTGCTGATTCACTCCTCAAGTGGCCGAAACGGCCAGAGCTGAACCGATCCAAGCCAGGAGCTTCTTCCGATTCTCTTATGTGGTTGCAGGGTCCCAAGGCTTTGGACCTTGCTCAACTGCTTTCCCAGACCACAAGCAGGAAGCTGGATGGGAAGAGAGGCTGCTGGGATACGAACCAGCTCCCATGCGGGATCCCGTCGCGTACAAGGCGAGGACTTTAGCCTCTAGGCTACTGCGCTGGTCCCAGAAACTACAGCAGTACAGTCTTGAGTCGGAGTGGTGACAACAGACATTCATACTTTATTCTTGACCTTAGGAGTAAACACACACACATTCTGTTTCTTTATTTGTTTTTTCTCCCTTTTAATTGGACATATTAGCTCTTTTTTTTTTTCCCTAGCTGCCTGTTGTCAGCTGTAGGATGCTTGCTTCTGCTCTTACGGGTTTTATCAGCAGTGGATATCGATTTTGTTGATTTTTTTCTGTATTGATTGTAATGAGTAAGTGGGTTTCTTTTTCAGTTTGTTGGTATGGTGATTTGTCCTGATTTGTTTTCAGATACTAAACCATCCTTGCATTGCTGAAACGCATACCACTTAGTCAAGATACAGTGCCCTTGTTAAGCATGTTGGGGCCACCCGGCTGCCGTGCCCAGAGCTTCCGTCCTGTCTTGAGTGGGTACTGGGCTGTTTGCTTTCCCTGTCTTCTGCTTCTTCTGCCAGGGTCTTGCTGCCTTCCTGGACCCAGTCGGGAAATGCTGCCTTTGCTGTGTGTGTGTTAGAGCGCATGTAAACTTAGCATTATTTCTTCCTGAAATGTTCGATAGCATTTTCTAGTAATGGCATTTAGGCCTTGAATTGCAACTCTGATTTAACTGATTGGATTATACAGTTTATTTGTTTCTTCTTGAGTAAGTGCCCGTGACTTGTGTCTCAAGGAATTTCCTTTCTTCTTAACATCATCTCTGCCTTTCCACTGGATGTTTAGATCATTGCTATGGGTTGATTTAGGTTTATATTACACATGTCTGATTTTTCCTGGCCTAACTGAAGGATGAGGTTTAGTTTGAGTTGTCTCAGGATGATGGGGAGAATATTCTGGAAGAGGAGCACACAAAGTGACAAAAGGAATGGAGAGTTACAGGGTTTTCCAAAGAAAAGTGACAGCCCCAGGACCCTGGGCAAGTGAACTCGATGTGACTCGAGCCTGAACAGAGTCTGTGAGGTCTGAGTGCAGCACGATTTGGGTTGGGAATATGTTTTGGACAACTCATTGTTCCCATTAGATCGAATGGTTCTGTGATTCGATTTGTGGCTGCTCCTTGCTGAGTGGTGCAGGTCTGGGCAGATGCCTTCAAGCCTCAGCTTTGAGCACAGTGTCCAGCTCTGAGCACAGGTGTGGCCGTGGAACCCAGGGACTTTGTCTGCATCTCTGTGCCTCAGTTTCCCTTCATGTAGACACTCCACATGTGCAAAGGGTTGTTGGGAGGATTTGGTGGGTCAGTAAGTGAACAGTGCCTGGAGCGTCTCCTGGACTAAACAGCCGAGCAACGTTAGTTGTGGCCATGGCTTTTGTTGGATTGAGCCCAACGAAGCTCTCAGCCCACGGGCTAACCGCCCAGTGTGAGCTGATGTCCTGGTGTGAGCTCACGGCTCAGTGTGAGCTGATGTCCTGGTGTGAGCTCACGGCTCAATGTGAGCTGATGTCCTGGTGTGAGCTCAGGGCTCAGTGTGAGCTGATGTCCTGGTGTGAGCTCAGGGCTCAGTGTGAGCTGATGTCCTGGTGTGAGCTCAGGGCTCAGTGTGAGCTGATGTCCTGGTGTGAGCTCACGGCTCAGTGTGAGCTGATGTCCTGGTGTGAGCTCACGGCTCAGTGTGAGCTGATGTCCTGGTGTGAGCTCACGGCTCAGTGTGAGCTGATGTCCTGGTGTGAGCTCAGGGCTCAGTGTGAGCTGATGTCCTGGTGTGAGCTCACGGCTCAGTGTGAGCTGATGTCCTGGTGTGAGCTCAGGGCTCAGTGTGAGCTGATGTCCTGGTGTGAGCTCAGGGCTCAGTGTGAGCTGATGTCCTGGTGTGAGCTCAGGGCTCAGTGTGAGCTGATGTCCTGGTGTGAGCTCAGGGCTCAGTGTGAGCTGATGTCCTGGTGTGAGCAGTGAGAGCAGCGGAGGGAAGCCAGTGGAGCTGGGTTCTGGTGGCTTCTCCTTAAGGGTTTATCTACCACGAGCTGCAGTTCCCTTTCCAGGGTCTCCTAGCCCTTAAAATCTTCCCCTCAGGAAGACCATGTTGCTGTCCCGTTAGACTTGAGAACCCCACGGCTGGGAAGAAGTCATTATCTGGAGTGGTTTGCTGGCAGCCCTGGGCCAAAGTTGTTAGCACAGATATTAAGTTTAATTTCATGCAGTAATTAGCCATTTTGATGAAACGGGGCTAAAACAGGTACTTTGCACCACCCTGTTCTTAATTAGCAGGATGACCCATTTTCTAGCCACGCAGACCTTGCATCCTTAGGAACCACTTCTGGTGCTAAAAGTAGAGTTGGAAAATAAAAAAAAGCGAACAAGCAGGACATGGGTAACTAGGCCGGTTAGTCGCAGGACATGGGTAACCAGGCCGGTTAGTCGCAGGACGTGGGTAACCAGGCCGGTTAGTCGCAGGACATGGGTAACCAGGCCGGTTAGTCGCAGGACATGGGTAACCAGGCCGGTTAGTCGCAGGACGTGGGTAACCAGGCTGGTTAGTCGCAGGACGTGGGTAACCAGGTCGGTTAGTCTTGAGTGACGCGCTGCACCAGCGCTAAAAAGGAAGAGCCTGTTGGGGCACTGAGCGAGGGCGTGTGCCCACTGCTCCGCCATGCCCACTCTGTGGCAGGACCCACTGTTCCAGTTCAGGTCTTTATTGTTTGGCTAGGGTAGATCTCGGGGACAGCTGGGATTGAATGGAGAACTAACTCTTTGTAGTACAAAGAAAACATTTTTCATCCTAGAAAAATTAGGAAATAAAGATGAAAATGAAAATAAAAACCATGAGTTCTGCTGTGTAGAAAATTTTTTAGCTCTTGAAATTTTGTTTGAAAGGTAGAGAGAGAAGGTACGACAGAAGCAGCTAGGTAGATCTTTGAGCCGCTGGTTCATGCCATAGATGCCCACAGCAGCCAGGGCTGGGCCAGGAGCCAGCTCTGGGGGGCGGAGCATCCGCTGCCTCCTGGGGTGCGCATTAGCAGGAAGCTGGGTTGGAATGAAGCTGGGTCTTGAACCCAGGCCCTCCGATATGGGATGCAGCATCCTGAGAAGCGTCCTGCTGTGGAGCTCCATGCGTGTCTGTGTCCTGCTTTTTAAAACACCCTGTAGTGAGTGTTCTGCCAGGCTGTTTTGCACCCTGGCATTGTTGTCTTTGCACCTAGTAGTCAGTGTTTATCGGGGACTTCAGGTCCCACCTGGTCACAGCCTCTGCGGTGTCGCGGTGTTGGGCTGTGGAATCCTTCTCCCCCCGTGCTGGCACTTCGCCGGAGCTGCGCCTGTGCACTGTGGCATGCAGACCTGCAGTGTTGCTTAGCAGTGGCACTCCATCCTCTCAGTGTGCCCTTTCTGGAGCACGTGTGTGTCTGCAGGCAGATGCTGGCCCCGGGCGTTAGGTCTCCCCACAGTCCGGCCTGAGCTTCTGAGGCTGGCCTGCTGGGCTTCGTTGTTCAGCGGGGACCCCCACCTGACCCCCAGGGTCGGATGACACTGGCCAGTTAGCACTGGTTTCTGAGATGCCCTCTAGCCCTCACATCTGCTGGTGAAAATGGAGGAAAGGTCTCAGGGGTTCCTTGGAAGGTCCGTTTTATCCATGTCTGGGAGAGATTCTGCCCGTGGCTAAGTGGTCAGTGAGCCTTGGAGAATTCCCCTGCAGGTGCATGAATGTGCAAGCCTTTGCTTGTTGCTCTGCTAGTCCCTCTGTCTGCCCAGCAGACTGGACCATGTCTCTGTCCCAGTTGCCCACCCACGCTTCCTGCACTTGGCCCCGGCCGTTTTGTCCCCAACCAGTCATTGGGTCTTTGCCTGGGATTCTCGTTGTGAATACCCTGGAGCGGCATAGCCCCCATGACCTTCCTCCCAGCCGCCTTCCCAGACTGCCCTGCATGAGGGAGCCCCCTAGCCCCGTCTCCCTCCTGTGCATGCCTGCGATGGCTGTTGCCGGAAGCAGTTTGTTTTTTTGGCTGGCTACTCCCTGTTGAATGCCAGTCCCTGAAACAGGTGCTTTATTGGTCTTGCACTGACCGTATCCCGATGCCTAAAATAGCATGTTTTGTATTGTAAGCACACTGGCGTGTTTAATGACTAAGCCAAACCAGGCTCTGACAGGATCGGGCTGTGGGTTTGCTGTCCTCTGAACTTGCCTGGATTTTTCCACTTTGGTGCTGCTGATGTCATTGTTTTCCCTGCTCCTTCCTTCGTGTCGTTGGGCTCCTGTAAGTGCAGCTCAGAGTGTGGCCCACAGGCTTCCAGCTCAGCAGCACCCACACCCTTGTTGGAAACCCAGTCTCTCTCTGTGTGGTCCAGGAGCAGGTGTTTCAAGCAGCCTTACCTAACCTGAGCCATCATGCTGTTCACCTCCCCTGCAGGTCAAAGGTCAAAGCCAGCTTCTGGGAAGTCCTTCCTGAAGACCCTGGCTTTCTGCCAGGGCCGCTTTCTTCACCTGAGTCTCTGAGAGGTCAGCGTGTCTTGCCGCAGCCAGTGAACTGCATGCACATGGCCTGGGCTTGGGTTCCACCCATGGGGGCCAGGAAGAGCTTGCGTGTGGCTTGTTCTTTGTGCAGCAGCGTCACGGGCGAGAGTGTCCGGGCCGCCTGCTGGTCGGCCTCCCCGGCCTCAGGTCTGCTTGGTCTGCATGGGACCCTGGGAAGTCCACCAGTTGCTCCTCACAAGAGCTAAGTGTGCTGGTTTCAGGGTGCCCTGGGGGGTCGTTGCAGCTGGAGCAGGGTCTCTATCTTGTCTTCCTGCCCCACTCTTGTGTGACAGTGTCCATTGCCTGTGCGTCACACTTGGGAGCAGAGTTAGAGAGAGAGAGGGAGAGAGGATGAGACTCTGACCTGCTGGTTCACCTCCAGATGGCTAAAGCCAGGAGCCAGGAGCTTCTTCCAGGTCTCCTGCGGAGGTGCAGGGACCCACGCACTTGGGCCATCCTTTGCTGCCTTCCCAGGTGTGTGAGCAGGGGACTAGATTGGAGGTGAAGCAGCCACTTCCAGACCAGTGCCTGGATGGGATGCCAGTGTCGCAGGCTGCACCACAATTCCGGCCCTCCAGTGTCTCCTGTGTCAGGCACATGTGGTCCGCGCCTTCTCTGCCAAGAAACGGCAATAGGCTACATTCCTCACTGGTTGCCATCGTTGGCCATCTGTGCAAGGCCGAGCCTCATGTCGCTGGTTATGGTGGAAGTACCCAGGGGACTTGTGTGTCGGCTTCACAGATAATATTCATGAGGATTAGAAGCATTTGACTTTGGTGAGTGGAAAGAATCAAAAGAATTTATTTAAAAAGCAGCTCTTGCCTGCTGACCTGATTTCCGCCCCCCACACATTGTCCCTTTTGTGAGAGGCTCCGGAGTGACTCAGCTCAGCTCGCCAGGCAGTGGCCCAGCAGCCGACAGGGCCTTGAGCCCTTCTGCCACTTGGAGCCCGTGCCCGCTGCGCACAGGGAGACTTGAGTACGGCTTGAGTATGTACATGGCCTTGAGACCTGAGTATGTCGCCTTGGATCCGAGAACAGCCCTACGCCACAGGTGACCAGTAGGTGACCAGGCTCTTGCCTGTGTGCGTCCGTCCATGGCTTGCACGTAGGGCAGTGAAGAGAGACGGCAGGCGTGGGGCCTTGCCCTGAGCACATGGAATCCGGCACACTGATTTAGACTGACTTGCTATCCTCTTTGCTTCCCCACCCCTGCGGGCTGTTACATTGGAACAAGTGACAGGGTCTGGGGTGCACCAGTTGGCTGCTAGTGTCTGTGTGTGTGAGCACACTCGTTCCTGTTGGAGTACAGCATCACTGGCATAACCACACCACGCTGCCCAGTGCGTGGCTCTCGGGGTCCCTGCTGGGACCTCCAGCGGCAGCCGGGTGTCCTGAAAAGGCAGCTGTGGCATCCCGCCTTCGCTGCACGCTGTGCTGTTAGCCTGCCAGCCCACCCAGCCGTGAGCGATGGCTTACTCTTCCTGTGCGCTCTCAGTTGCCGTGTATCGTCACAGCTTCACTGACTGTCCCTCGTGTGCCTGTTCTGGAGGGCTGCGGAGCCCGTGACCCCAGGATAATGACTGCACATTGTGCTTGCGTTCTCAGTATTCAAGTCTTGTGTTTTTTTTTTTTTCAAGGTTATTTATTTGAAAGGCAGAGTTAGGCAGAGAGAGAGCACGTTTATTTATTGGCTCATTCCCCAAATGGCTGTATCAGTGAGGGCTGGCCAAGCTGGAGCCAGGCATTTCTTGTGGTCTCCCACGTGGGCACAGGGTCCCAAGGACTCGGGCCACCTGCTGCTGCTTTCCCAGATGGGTTAGGAGGGGGCTGGATTCGAGTTTGCCATCAGTGGCTCAGCCCCTTGTGGGATGTTGAAGCTGCAGGTGGTGGTTTAATCCACACGCCACAGTGCTTGTCTCAGGTGGGGAGCTATGCAGTTAGCTACACCGAGGTTACACAACACACACCGTTTTGTACACTATTCCATCTCCTGTTTGAGTGTGGGAATGTCCTGTATCAGGTGACTCTCCATGGCTGTTTGCTGCTCAAATGGATGCGCCCAAACTTCAGAACCGTTGGTCATTGCATTGTTCCTTCTCTGTTCCAAGTCAGGTTTGTTCAGAACCACTAACCCAGTACACCTGACGCAGCGAGTCACACAGGAGGGAGCTGGCCATGGGCAGTGGGCGAAGGCAGAGACAGAAGAGAGGAAGAGAAAGGGGCCTCCTGCCATCGTGACAGGAGGGGCCTCCGAGGCACCCCAGCTGGGGAGAGAGGGGCCGCAGGAGTGGACGAGGGAAAGAGAGAAAACGGAAGAGAACCCAGGAGCTGGTATTGGCAGTACAGACCATGGGGATTGGTAGAACTGGTGGTAGGCAGGCTCAGGGACATGGGGCCGTAAGGGGTGGGAGGATAGCGCTGTTAAAGGGCAGAAAGCTTAGGTAAGTGAGGCCTAGACCTAGGGCAGGCAGGTGTTTAAGGTGGCCCAGGTGTAAGGTGGCAGGGTCCCATCACTGGTGGGCCACTGTTTGACTCGCTCCTTGCAGGCTTGATACCAACACACCTGTGCTGTGTCTGTTACGTGCTGGGTTGCGTCTGGTTAACTGGCCGGGTATGGGAAGGCCCCGACTTCTCTCCCACTGGGCCTCACGCACACTCCTCTGCTGCCCATGGACCCTGGCTGAGCAGGGGACACTCACTTGCCTTCTCTGTGCAGTCCTACTGCTTCAGGTACCGCTGTGCCGCCAGGAGCCAGAACACCCCCGACAGCTCCTCCTCCAACCTGGGATTCCGATGCGCCGCTGACCGTCTGCCCACCACAGACTGACAGCTGAGGAGCCTGTCCAGAGCCCAGCTGGCGGGCCGAAGCCGCACCCCGAGGGGCTCCGTCCCTGCCCGGTGGCCAGTGGAACTGTCTACACATCAAATCGCTGACCTGCCTTGTCACACGCTCTGTGTGCTGTTGTGTCTTTGGAGACCGTCACCCTGTTTGACTTTTGAGAGTCTTTTAAAGAGAAGGGTGGTGCAGGAACCCCAACAAGGAGTGGCAAGAGCATGGGGTGCAGCATGGAACTTCCCAGCCTTACTGCTGCCTTCCGTTGGACCCCAAAGTCTGTGACTACACAGTGAGAATTCTCACCAGATGATTCTGTACCAATGCCCCCTTGCCTCGTCCCTGCCCCTTGTGCGCCCTGGGGGGCGTGATCCTGGGCTTGCCCCGTCCCTGCCCCGTGTGCGCCTTGGGGGGAGTGATCCTGGGCTTGCCCCGTCCCTGCCCCGTGTGCACCCTGGGGGGCGTGATCCTGCGCTTGCCCCGTCCCTGCCCCGTGTGCGCCCTGGGGGGAGTGATCCTGCGCTTGGCCCGTCCCTGCCTCTTGTGCGCCCTGGGGGAGTGATCCTGCGCTTGGCCCGTCCCTGCCTCTTGTGCGCCTTGGGGGGGCGTGATCCTGCGCTTGCCCCGTCCCTGCCCCGTGTGCGCCTTGGGGGTGCGTGATCCTGCGCTTGCCCCGTCCCTGCCCCTTGTGCACCCTGGGGGGAGTGATCCTGCGCTTGCCCCGTCCCTGCCCCGTGTGCGCCCTGGGGGAGTGATCCTGCGCTTGGCCCGTCCCTGCCCCGTGTGCGCCTTGGGGAGCACAATCATGTGAACGTAAAGCTTGTGCTTGTTTTCAGGAAGGCGGGGCACGAGCCTGCTCCGTTGCTTCTGCACTTTTGTTTTTCCCAGGAAACCAGTGTCTTTCTGTTACCATGGCGAGGCGCTGTGGCTGTGTTGGGGTGCCGAGGGCTGCGGAGCACACAGACACGCGTCTGGTGCCTTGGCCGTCCGTGAGCTTCAGAAGTTAAGTGCCTTTGGTCGGGGCGGTGGGGAACCCCACTTCCCTTCTCGCTAGAGCCTGTGGTGAGTGAGAAAGGAGCGCCAAGGGGCAGCTGTGGGGGCCTGGTCATTGGAAGCTTTGAATCAGGCACTGTGCCCAATAAACTGCTACCTGCCGAATCGGGCCCGGGCCCGGCGCGTGCTGCTCCTCCCTCCCTGCCGCCTCTGTCCCTTGCGGCGTTCTCAGACTTGCTCGGAAGAGCAGCCTGTGGTCTGCTGAGCCAGCGTGGTGGGTCGCTCGCTTCCCGCTGGAAAATATTTCTGCGTAGACTTGCACAGGTTGATGGTTGATCCCAGACGGAAGAAGCCGTTGCTCGGAAAGAGCTGGCGCAGGAAAGGAGGTCTTTAGGTCTCCGCTGCTCCAGTGCAGTTCTTTCTCTTTTTATGTTGATGTATTTATAGTGTAGGTGTTTTGAATTCTCACTAATTAGTGTTACATGGCATCGATATTGAGTGTTTTCAGCATAGCCTTCGGAGCTGCATTTTAAGCAGCACATAATATTGGAAAGCATTTGAAGCAAAATCCTGACAAGTCGTCCCTACAGAACCAAAAGTGAACAAATGACTTTTTATTCCTGAAAAACTTTTGCTTCTGCAGTATGGCACACGAAAAAGAGGCGCCTGCGGGGGGACTGGGGCCTTTTGCCCTGCACGCTGCCCCCTCTCCGTGTAGGACGCGCTCCGATGGTGCCTGCTCATGAGGTCGAGGGGCAGCCTGGGTGTGCGCGTCCCCACCTGCCAGCTTGCAGTGCAGTCCAGGAGCTTACCCCGGTGGGAGTGCCACGGTTCTGGAGTGACTATCTGTTTACCTTGTCGTAAGGGTGTGTGTGTGTGTGGCTGTGGAGGCACCACCTGCTCTCCTGAGGCCGCTCCAGGCGGTCGGAAGGAGTGGCGGGGGGATGGTGGTGACTGCGAAGGGCGTTTCACATGACGTGTGTGTCCGGCAGCCTCAGCCCGCCGCTTCGCCTGGAGGCCTGGCCATCGTCTCCTCTCCCTGCCTTCCGCTCCCCTCGGTTTCTCAACTGCCCATAGCACCCTTCAGGAAAAAAAGAAATGGAAGACACACTTATTATAGGAAGTGTTGGGTGAGGCAGCAGCAGGAGGCAGGCTGGGTGCGCCGGGACCCTCGGGATGGTTGTGGGAAGTTCTGGTGTCAAGGGAACAGACACGTTTGCTGAGGATGCCACTGTAGATGTGAAATGCAGCCATGAGTTTTCATCCACAGGAATCCTAGGATTGGGCCTAGCACAATAGCCTAGTGGCAAAAGTCCTTAAGTAAATAAATAAATAAATCTAAAATCCAGGCCTACCCAGCCTGGAGTGGCCAGATATTTGCATTTTAGTGGGCGCCTTTGGAGCTTTAACTGCTTGCATTGGATTCAGAGTTAAAAGCAGACCTGATGTATCGCTTCCGTAGTCTCTGTCAGTCACAGCGTGCCAGTGTGCAGCCCAGATTGTGACGATGTTTTAGTGCATGGAGCACAGAGTCTCAGCCTGTGTGTGCAGGAGCAACAGACATGCCCGCGTGAGGGAGGGCGGTGGCTTGCCTTGGCAGTGCCTGCTGAGACTGCGCCCGCCCCTCAGCCCTGAGATCCGCCACTGGGCAGCCCGGGGGTGGTCTCTGCTGGGCTGTGCCCGCCCGTGTTCATGAACTTCAGTTTGCAGTCAACATCCAGGCGCAGCAGGAGCGAGGCTTCATGCGGTTACTTTCATTGTGTTGTTCTTTCGTTGTGTTATTTTGCTAGACTTCACCCTGCAGCACAGACTGAACCGGAGCAGACCTCGGTTTGCAGGCCAGCAGGCTTGCGTCCGCGACGTGGAAGTGGCTGTTGCCATCTCGGAGGCTCAGATCAGCCCGGAGCTCGCTCCCGGCCAGGAGCCCCAGCGGCTGGCCAGGACGCTTGCTTCTTGTCCTCTTGTGTCGAGTCCATGAGAGAGGAGTTTAATTAATTTTTGATTAAGCCAAACCACTGTGGACTGTTTCCAGGCAGGCCATGAAATAAGAAAGGCTGGCTTATCTCTTGAAACTTGTCCCATTTAGGACTGGGAAGTGTAAAGGATTGGCACCAGTGGGTGAACCTCTTCAGGTCAGATGCTCCTCTGGCCCATGGTGGTCTTCAGCGCCACAGCCTTCATCGCGAGCCGCTGGCCAAACTTTGGGAATGCGAGTTAGGCTGGCTGCGGTTAGGGTTGCGCTCCTGCCGCAGCTCTGGGCCCTGTTGGGAAACCTTATCTTGGCTGAGGCCCGTTCAGAGCTGATCAGAGCGAGCCTTGCCCAGCGGGTCAGTGTGGCCCCTTGGCAGCCCGAGGAGACATGGGAGAAGCCTGCCTGGGAGGCCGTGCTGATGGGAGGCGTGCCCGTGTCCGAGCTGGCGCCTGTTGGGAGGGCCGCAGCTGGTGGCTGTGTCCAAGTCCATGATTAGTCTACCGCAGGCACTTGCCAGATCAGATCGTCCGGGAGTCGTTGCTGGCACCCCAGGGTCTGTGTCCTCCGGGATCTTTCTCAAGGGACTCCTGGGTGAGGCCTTTGTCTCGGGCCCCGTGTAGTGCCGAGGCTTTGCTCAGACCGGCTCTGGCAGGTTTCCTGCAGGGGCCTGAGTGAAGCAGAGAGCAAGCAGAAGTAGGTCTTGTGCCCTTCCTGCTCCCGGGCCGCCACCCTCCCCTGGGGTTCTGCCCTTGGATGCAGTCCTCCTCCTCCAGTCTGGCTGAGGGGATTGGCCCTGGAGCTAGAGTCTAACCTCCTACATTCCCAGAGTTAAAAATCGAGATGAGGGCCTAGCAGCAGGGCTCAGTGGCTAAAACCTCACATGCGCTGGGATCCCATTCGGGTGCAGGTTCATGTCCCTCTTGCTCCACTTCCCATCACGGTCCCTGCTGTGGCCCGGGGAAGCAACAGAGGACGGACCAAAGCCTTGGCACCCTGTGTCGGCATGGGAGACCCGGAAGAGGCTCCTGGCTTCACACAGGCGCAGCTCCGGCCATTGTGGCCACTTGGGGAGTGAACCAGGAGATGAAAGAGCTTTCTCTTCTCTGTAAATCTGATCTGCCTTCCAATAAAAGTAAATCTTTAAACACACACACACAACCAAGGCGACGTGTGAAGAACACTGCAGGGTTTGTCGGCTGTGACTCCCAGGGTCAATGGGCAGATGTTATCCAACTCAGGTTGGCAGAGTGTGGCTGGGGACCCGCCAGTGGCCGCTGGCGCCTCCAGCCCCCGTCCAGGGGCCTGTGATTCAGAAGTTACTTGCCTTTAGAGAATGTAGTTGTTTGGAAAGCAGAGTTCCTGTCTGCTGTTTCACTGCCGAAGCCGGGAGCTGGGACCACATCCAGAACCCCCCTGTGGCAAGAACCCTGTCGCCTGAGCTAATTGTGCTGCCTTCCTGGGTCTGGAGGAACCATGACCAGGGATCGAAGCCAGGTGCTTGGGGTACGGATGTCTCAGCCTCTGGGCCTGTTTTATACTTCTTGTCCCGTGGATGGACTTTTCCAGGGACTGCAAGCAGGAGGCCTGTGTGCGCTTGTACAGTATTATGTGTTAACTTGCCAGGCCTGGTGGTTGGTGTGTTGAATGTCTGCAGGTTACAGAGGCTCTTGGAGGTCGTCATTCCTGGGAGGGATGGGGATCCTGAGAGCAGAAGACGCGAGAATTGGTGACCAGGAGAGAGGCAGGTTCTCAGAGGGCCCCAGGTATGTCCTGGGAGAAGGCCACGGTGTGTTGGGTTCAAGGGACCATGAGAGCAAGAATAAAGGGTCACCAACAAACCTTCCTGTTTGCCTCGCTAGGACTGTTGATGAGCAGGGGGATTTTCTTTCCCTTATCAACGAAGACCTGCCAAGAGATGCAATGAGTATGGTCACCCCGGAAGAGGAATCCCTGGATACGGGCACAGACCCAGAGCCCTGTGGGCATCCTCAGAGTTTCCTTGCAGATGGCAAAGGTGGGGCCAGACCTGTGCCAGTGACCGTGCTGGGCTGTGCTGGAATCAGACTATGTTGAGGGACTTCCTGCAGCACCGTGGGTCTGAGCTGCACTGTGGGCGAGGTCCGCTGAGCCCTGCAGCACCATGGGTCTGAGCTGCACTGTGGGCGAGGTCCGCTGAGCCCTGCAGCACCGTGGGTCTGAGCTGCACTGCGGGCGAGGTCCGCTGAGCCCTGCAGCCTCCGCTCAGGGTGGGGCTGCAGCCTGAGTTCCCTGGATAGTGGCTGTGGAGCAAAGCCACAGTCACCGTGTCCAGGGCACCTGTCTGCTGAGAGTCATGCTGGCACGTGCCATGAGCTGGCATCTGTGACCTGCCCCTTCTCTCCCTGGCCGACTGGCTGCTCGGCCGGCCTCTTTGGCTCCTCAAGGTGCCAGGAGCTGGGCTGGAAGCGTGGGGAACGTGACCAGGTAGAACCTGCAGAGCTGTTATTTCTGGTTAGAATTCCCACCTGTACCAGGAAAGTAGGA